TGCACTTATATTGTTTCTATGCATAGACACATTGTACTTTATATAAGTCCAAAAATGTATTAATAAACCTGTTTTGGTAGCCTAAGAGGTGCTGTATCCTATATGTTTTTTTTTTTTTTGCACTACAGGGTATTGGCACCAGCAGTATTACCACTCCTATTTTTTGTGGGGTAAAATACATTACTGTTAGCTGATCTTCTTACGTAACAGTGTGTTGTCAGGAAATGCAACAAACTGCATGTTACAAACATTTGCAGCCTGTGTAGGGATGACACAAAATTCATGTTTTTGTACAAGAGATTTACACCCATTTCACATACATTTTACAGTTTGTGGCTAGGAAAGTCACAAAACACAAAATGCCTGAAACCGCAGGGTGGGAAAATGTATACAAAAAGCATAAAAACTACCTGGCATGGCATCAGAATTGCCTCTAAATGCACTTAAAAGCATGTGTGATTTTTCTATAGAGATACAGTATATGTGTTCTTGCATACACGATCAGTGGAGAAGCCCTAAAGGGAAACTATTGGGTTTTTTATATTTTTTTGTCAGATAGATCAAAGAGATCAGCTTAAAGCCCAACTCCCTGAAGCTCCCTGCCACTTTTTTGTTTAAATTAATTAATACATACCTTTTGCCTCTGTTCTTTGGCTGGTCTGCTGACATCACAGTTCCCTAAATTGGCCAATGGCCATACACATATACTGTAGATGTTTTCTAATCTAACAGATTCCTCCATTCATACTACACAGTGCAAATGGATGAATCTCCTGCTGTGGCTATTGTACTTTGCCAGGAGGTCCTGTCAGCCAACTTCTGCTCAGTGCTTTGTTGATGTAATAATTATTATTATTATTATTATACAGTATTTATAAAGCGCCAATAGTTCGCTCAGCGCTGTACATTACAGAGGGGAACAGAACATGTGACAGAACAATACCAGTACAATGCAAAACATGAGGGGATCGAGGGCCCTGCTCTTTCGAGCTTACAATCTAGGAGGGAGGGGATGGTGGCACAGGAGGAGATAGCTGTGGGGGATGGAGTGGTAGGAAGAGGAGGAGGTCGGCAGGTTAGCAGGGGGCGGGGTAGGCTTCCCTGAAGAGATGGGTTTTCAGGGTGCGCCTAAAGGAGAGGAGAGTAGGTGATAATCTGATGGGTTGGGGCAGGGAGTTCCAGAGGATGGGTGACACCCTGGAGAAGTCCTGGAGGCGGGCATGGGAGGAGGAGACCAGGGAACTAGAGAGAAGGAGGTCTTGTGAGGAGCGGAGTGTGCGTGCTGGGCGGTACATAATGTGTGTGGATTGCGCTGTCTAGGAGTACTGTGAGCCCAGTCTGCAATGATGTCACTGAGAGTAGAGTAAGTGGGTTTGATCACTCTGAGCATCATTCAACCTGGAAGAAAATTGTGTTATAAGCTGTGTTTATATGCACACGGATGTACAAGTGTTCTGTGCATCCCATGCAGGCAGTTCCATTCATGTCAATTGGGACACAGCTGCTTCTCCCAATTTGACAGTCATGCAGGTATACAGCCCTGAACATACATTGTCTGTATTTGGAGCTCTGCAAATTGGGAGGAGTGGTTATACCCATGCAGCCACTCTGTCCCAATTGACATGAATAGGACTGCCTGCATGGGGATGCACAGAACACCAGTGTATCTCCATGTGGGTAAACATGGACCTCACATGGACATACGGTACATAGTATGTTCCATGTGAGGAGGTGTTCAGTGCTAGCCAGAGTTTTTCTTTTTTTATTTTTAGACCTGCTCCTCTGCCCTTGGAAGAGCAACACTGCACATACATTATGGAGGATAATGAGATGGAAACTGAGATAATAAGTGTGGTGAACACAACATCAATTCAGTCTGTTTACTAATTAAATTAACAATATGCAACACATATATATTATCTGGTGACTTTCAACAAACATTTATTGGTGGAGAATCAATCACTGTCATTTAAACACATGCATCTAGAAGATTCAACAGCAGTGAATGTTTGATGAATATTGGATTCACTGTTTATTAGCTTCTTGCCAACCATGTAACACATATATGCAGCAGGGCTTTAAGCCATCACACATATATGTCCATAGCAGTGCCTAGTTGCTGCACATACTTTTTTGTTGTGTTCTAACATCGCACTCATAAAATGCTCCCAGTACACTGACCAAGCTGCCACTGATAGTTCATGGTCAAGGCTTCTGATTGGGAGCTAGTGGAAACATTTCCCAATCACGTGACTGCTGGGAAAACCAAACACAGCAGCCACAAGATACAGAAGCCATACGTGAGGGGTTAAATATTAGTTTTTGTTTCTTCTTTTCTTTTCTTTTTAACTAATGTCAGTGGGGTTGAAGTATCAAACACAACAAACACTTTACTCCTGCACTAGGAAAGGACTCAGTAGACCCAATAGGAATGTTCTGGAATTTTCTGGAATATGCACTGCTTGCTGCCCTCAACAGACCAGGGTGGTCCAAATACACTGGATGCAAATGGAGGAACAGAAAAAGGGGTGCACCGACCTAGTGCATTATCGTTTAAAATAATTTATTGAAGAAACAAAATAGGTATCATACTCACAATGAACATAATAACACAGGCATGTCAAACTGAACAAGATGTATGATCCAAACAACATCTGAGTCCATACGATGGAACCCTGGATGACCAACTGGCTAACGCGTTTTGAGGACACAACCTCTTCCTCAGAGCCAACCAGGTTGCCCTGGTTAAATTCTCATTTTGTCTATCATAATGGTGGTCCAATTTCTTGTTATAGGGGGGTTCAAGTGTGGCTCCCCACATTATCAAAGAACCTAGGTTCCGACTGAACTTTTTCACGTTTTGCCCCTGTGTGAGAGGAGCCAAATATCATCTAGACAAGCAGTATTTCTACCACTTTAATAAAAGCAGAACTTCATCCAAAAGGGGAAGTTCCACTTGTTTGCATCCTCCTTGCCCTTCACTGCCACATTTTTGGGGGGGAGCAGGTACATGGTTTTGACAGGTGTCTGCTCCGACTTCCGGTCAGATGCACCAGTGATCTGAGCCAGAAGTTCGTCCCCCTTCCTTCCCCCGCAGCCTCCTGGGACACTTCACAAGTTCCAGAAGACTGCAGGACCATTCACAAAGCGCAGTGCATGCACAGTAGGAAAGACTTTGCTGCCGCTTTCCCTTACTTAAAATGCAGATGCCTGCACCCAAAGCCAATTGAATAATCAGCTCAGGTGAGGACATTGCTAGACCCCGGGATGGGTAAGTGTTCTTATTTTAAAAGCCAGCAGCTACATTATTTGTAGCTCCTGACTTAAATTTTGGGGGGGGGGAGCCTGGAGCTCCGCTTTAATCACAGCTTTCCTCCCTAGGAACTGCTGATGTCACCGGGAAAGTACGGAGACAGTGGTGAACATCACTAGTCAAATATGGCAACTGGCTAAATCTGGGCATTGACATTGACCAAATATGGCTTGTTTGATCAACAATGTCACCACTACCCCTGCCCATTCCTTTACATAGCAGAGCAGCTTTCATTCTGCTATGAGTAGCATCAGGATCAGTTGCGTGAGGCAAATTGTCAGATTTTTTTCTGGCGAGTTGGCAGGTAGTTGGCATTGTGATTGATGATAGATTTACAATGTGGGTTTTTTATTTGTTTAATAAAGGACTTATCAAATGTTTGGGTGTCTGTATTTCTAGGTTATACCTTTTTTGGGGAATGAATAGGGGTACTATTACATCACGCTCATTCACATGGGGAGAGGCAGTATCAGGGGGCCAACTTATTGTTAAAGGAAGCTTCCAGGTTCTGATAAACCCCTTGTCCACAGACCCTCACAACCACTGGCCAGAGTTATGGGGAGGAGGCCCTTGTCCTCATCAACATGGGGACAAGGTACCCCCCCTCCTATATTGAGGGCATGCAAACTAGTAAGGTGCAGGAGATGGGATGATGCATGCTCTTCCCTCCTCCTTTCCTGGCTAGTCAGGCTGCATGCTCAAATTAAGCTTTGGGGTCTATGTGACATTTTTTCTTAAAATAAAAAGGAGCCAGAAGAAAATTGTAATTTGCTAGCAATTTCAAAAACTTTTTCATTTATAAATGTCAGTATTTAAAAAAAATCACTGCTCCCTACCGAATTGAATTTTTAAAAATTGCCCATTAGCCTAGAAAATGGGCATTTTAATTTGACAGATTCAGCCCCCATTAATTTCAATAGCATTCCGATCTGATATCCAAACTTCTTTGAAGTACTGAACCATGCTCGACCTAAACCCAGGGCAGTTCGGCTCATCCCTATTTAGGAATTGTTGGAGACTAGGGACAAGCGTTAGCAGATACTTATAGTTTAAAGGGGTCTGATAGAAATCACTGCTCTTGCAATCTCTTTTCGAATCAATGTATCTACATTTGTGTTCTCTACAACCCCCATTAAAAAAATGACTTGTGTAACAGCAAGATTCATTACAAATGATTAAAGGGAAAAAAAAAACAAAATGAGAAAAGGGATGGACAGCACAGAAAAAGTAAGATAGTGTGAAACAAGCCATTTATGTACAAGAATCCAGCTTTCCTTCACTGGCCTAAGTAAAGCACAGACTACTGTCTGACTCTACAGGGACTTGAATTCCACACAATAAGTAACAAAAGGCTGCAAGTTGGGCATTAGGGTTCTAGAGGATGATGAAAGGTGACTTACTTACCTTATGCTTTTTTCTTCCAACACTCAAAGGCCCTATATTGTGATGACAGCAAAGATCTGTGACTAGTCAAGCAGAGAAGAGAAGAGGCTTTGAGGGACCGGGTTGTACAGCACAGAGGAAGTCTTCAGGTAATTCACCTTTTTCATCATCCCCTAGACCAGTGATGGCGAACCTTTTTGAGCCCGAGTGCCCAAACTGCAACCCAAAACCAACTTATTTCTTTCAAAGTGCCAACACTGCAATGAAACCTGAATATCGAGCTTTTGGTTTAGAAAAAAACAACTCGTACAGTAGTGCAAACTAATTAACAGTACAGGGATGACCAGAGACTGCGGACAGTACAGGGATGACCGGAGACTGCAGACAGTACAGGGATGACCAGAGACTGCGGACACAGTACAGGGATGACCAGAGACTGCGGACACAGTACAGGGATGACCAGAGACTGCGGACAGTACAGGGATGACCAGAGACTGCGGACACAGTACAGGGATGACCAGAGACTGCGGACACAGTACAGGGATGACCAGAGACTGCGGACAAAGTACAGGGATGACCAGAGACTGCGGACACAGTACAGGGATGACCAGAGACTGCGGACACAGTACAGGGATGACCAGAGACTGCAGACACAGTACAGGGATGACCAGAGACTGCGGACAGTACAGGAGATGACCAGAGACTGCGGAAAGCACAGGGATGACCAGAGACTGCGGACAGTACAGATGACTGCTGACCTTTGGGGAGGGAGGGGGAGCGGGTACCTGAATTTGACAGGTACCCGCTCTTACTTCCGCAGAGTTTTTTTTTTATCTTACCTGTTCCTTTATCCAGCCGCGCGCTGTCTTCCCGGATTCTGTAGTGTGGGCGCTCGTCGGACAGCCGGATGCCCAGTGCGCATGCGCGAGAAGCGCTGCGCTTTGTGATTGGTCCGGCGGCTTCTGGGATCTGTCATGTGTCCCAGGTACCGCCTTACCATTCACAAAGAGCACTGCTTCTTGCGCATGCGCACTTGGGACCCGGCTGTCACGCACACTACAGAAGCCGGGAAGACAGCGCGCCGCTGGATAGAGGGACAGGTACGGTGCCACTGCAGAGCTGAGCGGCCGGCCCGGTATTCTGACACGGCGGCGGTGGAAATACCGGACCGGCCGCTCTATATTCGCTCCATAAGACGCACTGACATTTTCCCCCCTTTTTTGGGGGAAAAAAGTGCGTCTTATGGAGCGAAAAATACGGTATTCTCCTGGCGTGCCCACAGATAAGGCTCGGCGTGCCGGCTGTGGCACGCGTGCCACGGGTTCGCCATCACTGCCCTAGACAAAACATGCATTTAACCCATACAGTGAGGGGGTCAAACCATTACAAGGGAACAATTAATAGCAGCATGAAGTGGGGTTTCAATACTCTTACATTAGTTTGTAAATATATACAGTATGTACAGGTGAGCAGCCATGTTTGCTCATTGCATATGTAGCCTCTGCATCCTGTCAAACACATTGACTGTACTTCAATGCTTTTCTTTTTCACTGTGAGATCATGGCTAAGGTCTGCCCTGAATGAAAACATTAGACTCTCTGTCAAAGTTCATTGACCATTTATCTACCAGAGCATGGTTATAAACAGCAGCTGGTAAAAAAAAAGGACCTTTAATTCCACTATAGCAGCCTGAAGTGTGTTTAAATATGTTGAAACAACTGTATGCTTTCAGGTGGAAGTACTTTAGGTGGTTGCAAAGCTGTCCAATCCATTTTACACCCCATTGAAGGTTCCAACCCCACTGGATGACCCTTGCCATGTATTTCAGACTCTGCTGTCCCACCTATAGGCATGGATTCGAAATGATTGGTGGAATAAAGGGCGATCAGAAGTAATGAGTATTATGTCACTTCTGGGTCCAGAGCTGTCATTTCCTGGCTGCTGTGGTCAGGAAAGCAGCAAACAGGTTATAATCTGTGCTCCATTAGCTGCAGTGGATTGCATAGGAAACATCGGGGGTCTAATAGACCCCTGATATCTCAATAGAGAGACTCCATAATAGCAGTGGTGCAAAAATTAGGTAAAACTGAAAAAATGTTTCTAGTAGCATAGTGATTAAAGAGTCCCTGTCATAAAGAAAAAAAAACAAACCTTGTGTAGGTATAAAGTGTAGACACCTAGAGGTACCTGCACATACCTGCAGTGGTTTTTAGCACCCTGCTCTTCAAGCCAAATTTCACACCATTCTAACAAATATTTGACACCTTCAGGTAGCTACTACCTCTCCCCTATCCCCACACATTCCTACTGGTCTTTACCATGATGGGCTGCCTGATCAGAATCTCAGGAATATGCACAAAGATCAGGAACATGCAGAGGACATGAAGGGGCTGCACCATAAAGGCTGCTGCAGGTATATGAAGACACTATAGAGAACAATCCAAAAGTTGTAAGCTATCAAATATAATAAAGACTGCCCATATAGAGTCCCATCAAAAAGGGGGCACTGCATCTACCAAAATAAACCTGTTTATCAGGAACACATGTTATATGAAATAAATAAGCAGCATTTTTTTTTTCCTTTTTTTAGGCAAGGTAGCAGCCTGAAATGAGTCAGCCTGTGAGTGAGGCAGAAGTTCACTTCAGGACAGGCTAGGGAGGTTCTGAAGGTTAGAGCTTCTGGTCCCACCTCTCCAGAAACCTGAGAGCTTTGTGAAGGAGCAACAAAGGAGGGGAGGAGACTCAGATCTGCATACTTGAGGGACCTTGGTCAATCCCCTGGCAGGAGGCTGGGCATTGAGATCGTGGCAACCCTTAAGTATCACAGAGCCTGGGAGAAGAGTTAGTGCAGTGTCGGATAGAAGATGGGCTGAGAGGAAGGCTAGAGTGAGGAGCCTGGGAGGGGACCCAGGAGGGGGCCTACCTGCTGGCAGTCACTAGAAGGGAAGATCTACTCTGTCCCATTGTTCTCCTTGGGAGGACGGCCTATGAAGCAGGGAAGGAGCCAGCCCAGCATAAGGCCTGAAAGCAGCCACCAACCCACCAAGTAAACAGGGAAAGATACAGTGAGTACTCCTACAGCCCCTGGACCAGATAAGGGAAGAGGGCGGTCAGGTGCAACACCCAACTAGTCTTTATCCAGGACTGTTCTAAATCTACAAATTTTGGGCCCTCTTGCCCAGGGAATACCCTCGTCCAGCTGGGTGGGAGGATTCATCTCGGGTCTGATGAGGTACACCAAAGAGCTTTGGATGTTCGTAGATGAGAGACTATGTTTGTCCACATTTTTGGACATAGTTGCTCTAAATTGTCCTCAAGTTTGCAGTTTCCTTGAAAATCCCATATACCCCTAGACCCCATTCAAGTTTTTAACCCCTTAATAAAATCACAAAACCAAACTCAAGGACTGTGTGGTGACTCTGAATGCAACGTGTGGAAGAAACTGCGTTTTGCTTGGCTGAGCAGAGCTGTAGGGGGACCCAAAACTTACTCCTAAGGGGGTAGTGTTACATGTGCAAGTCCATGCAGAGGAGTTATGTCTTTCTTGAATTTGTACTTAGATATATATAAAATAGCATTTGCGTGGTCCTCCGGTCTATTATACTGTACATGCACCTATTATTTAGAAGGAGTTGAATTGTAACCAAGGGGAATTAGATTTGCCTGATATAATGGCTAATACTATTTAGGCCTCATGCACACTGGACATCAAAAACACCACTTTTTTTACTTTTTTTTTTCTGCCTATATAAACGCCCCTCAATGTTAGCCAATAGATCCATGCACATATGTTTTTCAAGATTTATATGGGGTAATAGATTCCTGCTTAATGGGGGAATGTATTCCTGAGTCAAAGGGGTTTACTTACTAAAACTGGGCAGTGCAAAATCTGGTGCAGATCTGTATAGAAACCAATCAGCTTCGAGGTTTCTTTGTCAAAGCTTAATTGAACAAGCTGAAGTTAGAAGCTGTTTAGCTACCATGTACAGCTGCACCAGATTTTGCACTTTTCCGGTTTTAGTAAATAAACCCCAAAGTCTTTAATAATATGCTTGGGTGACTGTACCCTGCTTAGGGCCAACAATTGTATTCATTCATTTATTTGCACATGGTATTTTGTATTAGGTGCTGGGTTCACAAGCTCTTCTTAATAGGAGTATTTAAGCAGCTGCTTTAACAAACAAAATGTTTTTACTTTTTTGATATCAGTAAAAATTAAATTAAATTTTTTTGAATGTCTAGCTGCTTGATTTGCCATTATCTTTACCTACTCTTGGGATTCTTTATGCATATGAAGGTATTTCTTGGATAAAAAATCTCTTTAAACAGGGATACTAATCACATTAGTGTTATAAAGATGACTAATAGAGGGATAATGAAAATAATAATCATTGTTATCATCTTAAAATTATGTTAGAAAGGTGTGTTAAAAATACCAATTGAGTAAATGCTGCAAAAATAACTCAACATTAATGTTCAAAGTTTGATAGTATAAAGAGGGTTGGCATATAGACAACTAGAACAAGGGTCACCCCATAGGCTGGGGGATTATAAGCATCAAGATTGCCCTTGCAAGAGCAGCACTGTGGATATGTCATGGAGGATAATGAGATGGAAACTGAGATAATAAGTATGGTGAGCACAACATCAATTCAGTCTGTTTCCTAATTAAATTAACAACATGCAACACATAGGGGCATAGTTATGAAGCAGAGATTGTGACTGTTGCCAAATGGTCACTGTTATTTAAAATACATGCACCTGGAAGATTTACCTGCAATGAATGTTTGGTGAATGCCAGATTCACTGCTTTATAAATACACTCCTTAGTGTGATGTCAGGTGGAGCTTTACAACACTGCATCTGATAAAGACAATAAAACAAGATTTCTATATGGTTTAAAGAATCTGAATATACAATCTAAAGCAGTGCAACACAAAATCATACATTTACTTACAAATGTTGATTTTTTTGTCATTTTTTGTAAAAATGTGTTTGCGCTTAGCCAACACATGTGGCCGAAGAAAAATTTCACAGTGTCTCTTTACTGGACTTTTATAAGTTCTATCTTCCCAAAGAAAAACTTTCCCACTTTTCACAATCACGCCTTATTTAGGTCATCAATTTTTGGCAGCACTTATATTTATGAGCAACTATTTGTAAGGATGAAGCACATGAACGGCAAAATTAGAACCAAAAAATCTGATGAGCACCTTGAGAATTAATTGAGAATTGCTACTACAACCATGGAACCAGATATTGATGCGTTCATTTATCAAAAGCACTGTCAAATATTGTATTAGTTTTATGTTGCTATATTTTACTTTTATAATAAAAAATATTACAAAAAAATTAAGTTTTATTAATCAGATAGGTACATTGTCTAAATCAGTGATCGCTAACTTGTAATCTGCCCAACTTTTTCTGCTCAACTATCCTTATTGTTGGTGTGTTTTATGTGTGGCCCAAGACAATTCCTCTTCACATTCAAATGACTGGAATGGAATAAAGAAAGGTAGGTATACAGATCTTTTTTGTACAAGATAAGCAGGAAGGTAGGAGGATGTAGCTTTTAGTACCACTTTAATCCTTGTTTTTCTTGCTAGTTGCTTGTTTATATTTG